AAGCTATCTCAACTAGCGCTGAGGTGCTCATTGATATGCGTTTGATCAGTATACATCAATTCATTTTATACATTGCTATAAAAATATTGGTTTGATATATTCAAGCCTACCGTCTTCTCAAGTTTTCCCAGTAAAATTGTAATGTTTGTTCATCGTTCTATTAAGCAGAATCTCGGCTTTCTAAAAATGAAATATTCGCCGAAGATTTCTGCCTCTGCGAGGAGATTTAGTTGTTTACCTGATGCTATAGGGGTTAGCTTATTGAAGCCTACCGTACTCGTCCGACTTATGCGTATGTGAATCTAGGGAATTTGAGGAATCCAATGATGTGACGAAATTGTCGTGTTATTGTGCCTACTTGAGAGCAGTGATAATTTGAAAATGGTAAACCTGATATTGCTAGTGTAATGTTCATAGTGATCAGAATAGATGCAGTGCACTGAGCGCTACCAAGCAAGTGAGATACCCTCATCATCAGATCGGCTATTCTCTGAACGTAAGTAGTATCATTTTCGGCTTCAAATTTTAGAAGCTTTAGCCATAATATTTCGCTTCTAACGATATTGGGATAACTTTTGGAAGCTATCTTTCTCAAAAAACGATTTTGGCGACAGATTCTGATTGCTCCAGTGGAATTACAAATGTCTTCTCCTATTGGACGTTTCGAATTCATGATCAGCATCACTGTTGTCATTACACTTTGAACAACTCTACATATTGTGCGTAAGCTTGATTGAATACCGAAAAGTTTGACTTTCCTTGAACTTCAGAATCTCTCCGAGCTGAACAGCACAAAATATTGAAATCCCATTAATCCATCTGATATCAGTCTTATCACTTTCAACTTATTTACGGTGATCGTTGACGTTGTTAATGAAGGCTGCAAAAAAATGACTTAATGTAGTGTGTTGCGAGATTCGGGAAATTTCGAGGGGATTGTCCCCGATCCCAAATCTTTTTCGAGCCTATTCCATCTTCGAGGTCCCTGACTGCAAAACTTCGTACCGGACTCCCCCGTCCCAGCAACATATTATTTCAATGAATTCATCATTCAGGTGATGCGCTGATGAGTGTTTGATATTGCTAGGGGCGAACAAATCTCTGCATATATCTTGTGTTCTGCGCATGCTTTTACCTCTACACCCAGTTCACGCCTACATGTATATACATATTGCACTGTGTAATTATTTCACGACCAACAATCAATCTACAAGTCACCATAAAATTTATTACCAATTCTGTATGGAACACGGAAAACATGAACGAAACTGACACCTTTTATCAAAAACAACACGATCGTTAATGAATAATCATCAAATCATGCCAGATTCATAATGAACAATACACCACGTTCACTCTAATCATATTAATCATTCATACTCGAAATATTCATTATTAATCATTAATAATCATAAAAATCATTGATAGTAGTGAAAATAACTAAAATTACAAACGATAATTAGCTTGATCACAAGATAAACTGCAATGAAAATAATGACCATAATAGCGTTACAAGCAACAATTATAATAGCGAAAATAACAATAGCACCAAACTAATCTAAATAATAACAGTAGTAAAATAAAAGCAATTATTGTTATTTCTGCTATTATTTTCATGTTATTTTCATTTACCGTACTCCAATACAAAGACACAACATGACAACATATACTGCTCTTTCTACATGCTTCGTCAACAATGTGCCATATTGCTGAGTCAATTAGAACACGTGATGTGATAGCTGATTTATTTTTTTCAGTCAAATTGGAATTTTCTTTTACTGCATTGGCATCATTCAGGAAGGATATGAGGTAGATAAGAGTGAGATTAGAATGCTGAATTTGATAAATTTATGAATATGCACTGAGTAAAGCTGCGACAAGATGAAAAAAGGACTACGAACTGACTTTATCATCAACAAACGTAATTTCACTTAATATTAAAATTTTGGATGGCAGAGGATAAGGTTGCGGGCTGAGTACAGTAAATGTGTGTTTGTCCATATCGACTGCGGTCACCACCAAAAAACCCATTATATTCGTCGTTAGAACACTTTGATCCAAAGATGAACTATGGGAGAGCGACAGAATATGATGTATCAATGCCGTCGATAGTTCGACTCGAACGACCTGTAAACATTTTATAAAACAACGTGAATGCGAACATAACTAGCACTGAAATAGCAGTAATAATAATGATAACAATAATAACGACAAGAGCAACAATAGCAACAAATGACGATGCTGACCTTAGTTCGATAATCTTCCACTTTCATACCGTACGGCAAGCATTCAGCTGGTAATTTTTCACCACCAATCTTGCACAAAATAACTTCATCAAATTTCAACTCGAAGCTATGTGGATAAAGAGGCTTTGCACGTGTTCCATAGAAGAACTGAAATTTTTTATGAAGCACGAATACAGTTAAGTAATAAGTTGAACTTGAGGTGTTGTTTAATAGCGCTGCTTTCTTTGCAAATTAACTGTCTATCCAACCGTTTTATTACACCGCTACGAGCAGGGTTATTATCAGATTGCAACAAGAATCAACCAACGACAACAACTTATTGAAATATCGACCAACCTTATGCACGGACGAATTTCGAGCAGCGATTCTCATCTCACGACTTCGATTCTCCACACCACCGGATTTCGGCTGATGAAGAATCTAAAAATTCATCATAAACATCCTACAAAATCCACGGCTTCCAACAATTAGACCGGCTAGGCAACTGAACACCATAAAAACATCATTGAAGAAAACAAGAAGAGAAGGCAAAATGGCACAACAATGAGATAATATGGCAACCTTGACAAATGAAGGCAAGTCTCGTTGCAGTTCATTGTATAACCGTTCATGATCGAGCACAATCACTACATCCACCTCGAACTGCTCAGCTGCATTCACCAAGCATGCGTAACTTAAATTCAATCAACTCATAACAACCTAATCAACACACGCAAAGTAATAAATTAACTCAGAATTGGTTTGTTATCCATTTCTACGCATAATACTCTTTCATTATGAGTCAACACATTCCGGGAATTCAATTGTTAAAGAACTTTCTGAACGATATAATACAGAATTCATGAACGTAATCATCAAACAACAACAAACAAAAGCATTCATCAAGCACATACCCTTCTCCCTTGACCCATCCACAAGTGTTAATGATAACACCGCCATAATTTGCATCCGCACTCAGCTTTCGTCGTTTTGCGATTGTTTCGGCCAATTCTTTCACTAGCAAATCGTACAGGACGATATTTGCTGATGGTGACAAACTACCAAACTGCAGTAACAATTATCAACTTCGCCAATCAATCCATCATATAATCATGTGCTCAATAACTTATCACATCAATAAACAAATACAATAATCCAAAGAAGTGAAAACATAAAGAAATGAATTTCTCAAAACATCGCCCACATGATAAACGAGCGGAGATTTCTTCTCGAAACCTTCAACGATATCGGCCGTCTTCTCAATGTAATGCGCACCAATGGTTCCCGGTAGCGAAATACTGCCCTTTAAAAACGATACGATAATTATTTAGCAGTCAACAATACTGAATGAATTTGCTCACACGGAGCTTGCCAAGACCGCAGTGAGAAATGTTATACAATTAAACTGCTTAATCAAAATTAATGCAAATTGATGCTTAATCAAAATGCAATAATCAAAAACAAAATTATTTCTCAACCGAATGATAGCTGCAGGTCCTAATTCACACGTTTCGCTAAACCTTCTACCATTATTTTCTTCTTTTTTTATCAGCTATATTCTCCTTTCTGTGCTACACATTACCAAAGATAAGTAAATTTCAACGTTCCAAGATGAAGGAAACTTTCGACCGACCTGACCAACGTCCAAATCCACAAAGGTTGGTGTTCTTCCAACACGTACCGCATAGTTGCACAATAATCGGCATACGGTACTTTTACCTACATCTGTAGGTCCTACAATCATCAAAGCTGGACCTCGAGCTTCCTCTTTCTGCAGTCCCAATGATTCAGCATGTTCACGCAACTGTTCCAGTGCTGCATGAGTATTCAAGTATATCACCTAAACACAACTTAATCAGCACTACTCCCATCACCATTTTCTATTCAATAAATTTGGTCTCACATAATTCAAAAGATGAGCGAATGCATTTAATGTTCATCAGAATAAGATGAAAAGTACCATAGGCGTTTGCTCGGCCACATAAGCACATTCCGTTTTCCCGACTAACTCCACTGTAGCTTTACTCCATGTAAAAACAGCCACACGAGAGCCTTAAAAGTGAAACCACAATCATCATATTGAAGAAGTATTCATAAATTGATACATCACCGCTACCGCATCAACAATACTTCCACATCAATATTTCATCATCAAAAGTTTTGCTTTTTCAGTGACGTTATCTTTAGACAATACGCGATCTTCAGACAACCAATGCTATTGAAGTATGCACTAACCTTGAGGAAATGTATATTTCTTATTGAGAACCAGCTCAGTTCCAAAAATTTCTCCTTTCCCATCGATCAATTCCAAAACAACTTCGCTGCCACTTGCAACCTGAAATCTCGTTAAATATTATATCAAGGTCGTAAATTCAAATAACAACCAAACGTTCTAGTCACGGTCCACAATCGCTACAGTAACTGAAACTAAACAAGAATATGAAAAACTTTACAAACCTCAAACCGCAGTTCATTATCTTCTTTCAGAGTGAATTCTTGAACATTCTGTTCGGCTGGGGAGTTCACCGAGTTATCACCCATATGCACAGATCATATATTTTAAAACAACTGAAAAGTTTATACTCAATATTAATAAAATATATTCAGGTTATATACTCAATAAAACGATGTATTTAATAAAACAATATCGAAAGAACCCATTATTGAATATAATTCGATTCGAACGAAGAAGCGTGTTGTTTTATTACGAAACGCAAACGACGCTCACATTTCACCAACAGTTTCAATACGCTAACAGCGGTGAGCAATATTATTCACTGAATAATATTAATACGAAATGTTTCACCTTTACATTAGAGAGCAATGCAATAACATAACAATTCGAAATTAAAGCAAAAGAAGGAAGAAGCACAATACTTCACAACTTTACGTTTTCTTTACATTCGATGGAATTCTTCATGAATTCACATGGAATGTTCAAAAAAGTTTTTCAGAGTTATCATTAATTCGCTAAGAAATTTTTAAAAAGAGAACCGAGAAAACGTACCAAGTACGAATTTACTAAAGCGTTAGGACTCGATAAAATCTCTTGCAACTATGTGTTCGGCCGTCTCAAACTGACGAGCTGTAGTCGTTCATTAGTTCACCTTCTTCAGGAGGACCTGGGTGGAATAGAGGTGTCGAAAAGAATTCTAAGGAACAATCTAAGAAGCAGTCATAAACTTGTCAAATCACAAAAAATATGGGACGAAACGATGGAAACCTGAACAGGAATATTGGAGACGGGATGACTCGATGAGTTGCCGTACAGGCTGGATTGTTGAACGTAACGACAGTGAACACAGGCGCGAATCAA